AATAGAGATGGCTCTGGCCCTTCCTGTAAACGATGTCCACATGTTTAGACCAGTCCAGTTTTTTGTCCAAGTGCACTCCCAGGTATAACCCAGTTAACTGTTGTAGTATTTGCGATGTGAGAATTGCATGTGTTTATTTTATGATGCTGATATTAATACTGCACATCTTCAAGCTCTAATTAGTATTATTTGACTGTAGTCTGTGGAGAGGGCATTCAGGTAGGAATTTCATTGTACTTTGTACATATGACTCTGCTTTCTTAGCTCATATTGAGTTGGGAAGCAGAAGAAATTTAAACTGCCGTTAAATTTTGAAGATGCTCTACACAGAGGTACAAAATAGTGTTTGCCATATTTTTTCCTGTGCCTCTTAATATATTACTTAATATATTCATCTTAATATATTTCTTTAAAAAAAAAACAGATGCTACTTTAATACCAATTGTACTGTATATAAATTATACAGCTCTGGAAAAAATTCACACCACAGCAAAATTTTTTACTTTCATTTTTCAATTTATGGGTATGCTTCTGTGTAAAATATACATTTTTTTTGTAAACTCTAACCTGCATTTTCTCCATTTCTCATTGATTAAGGGCTTCTGTCTTTCTTTATGAGACTTTAATCCTGCTTCTAGGAGCCTGTTACGAACTTTTCCTAGCAGCGCACTTCACAGCACTTAATGTTCCCCATTCTTGTTGAAGGTCACTTGATTTCATTCTTTGATTTATGTGGTACTGTTGGCTAAATTGTCATCGCTAGAATTAGAAAGTTGCTTCCGCCCTTTACCTGGCTGGTTATTGGTCATTCCCAGTGTCTCTTGTTACACATTGTTCTTGTGTAGTTCTTGTGAATGTTGAGTACAAACGTGCCCCTAATCTCAAAAACAGCCAACTGTAAATGACATCCAAAAAGAACATAATTATACTTTGTTTTAACCTGAAAATGAGTTTGTTGTCTGATAGGCAAAGAGAACAGCCTGTATTAATATATTAAATCAACAGCTTATTCTACCTTGTTTGGTTTTTGTGAGAGAAGATGAAGGGTGCAGAGGTTCAGGATGTGACTGAGGAGGAGCTGACTGGTTCGTTTCCATTAAACACTGATGGGAGAAGGAGAAGCAAACGGATTGTGAAACCTCCAAACCAAGGTGATTTTAACTACCAGCAAATACCATCAAACTGCAAATGTTTTGGTACATTTGGAGGTTATAGCCTGTGCTTCAAGTTGCCTTTTCAAACCAGCAGTGTTGTTACTCTGTGCAGTTCAGGCATGTC